CAAATAATTTTATTCAAGAATCTCATGCCCCTACAAAAAAAACATATAAAGCTTACATCAAATGATTATATCGTTAGTTTGCTTCTCAATTGAACAAATCAATGATGCCATTAAGGCTTAAGCTAAAATCATAGTAATATAAAATATGTATTAGCAAAAAATATATATTTTTCAACATAATTTCTCTAATACACAGTTGTGTAAAATTTAAAAAGCTTTCAAATGAATAAATAAAATCTTGTGTATTCATATAAGCTTAAATATTTAGTAATACACAACAATACATAGTGCATATTAATTAAAAAATATATACTTTTTAACATAAATTTTTTAGTACACAACTTTGTAATAGCTCAAAAAACTTTCAAATGATCAAATAAAATATTTTGTATTCATATAAGCTTAAATATATAGCACTACACAATAAAATGCTCATCAAAATATACATCAACACATAGCAATATGTAGTAAAACACATCAATACATAGTAATACATAGCAATACATAATAGTACATAGTAATATACATCAATACACAATAATACACAGCAATACACCTCAAATAATTTAATTCCAAAATCTCATGCCTATACAAAAAGCTTATTAAACTTAGATCAAATAATTATATACTTAATTTGCTTCTCAATTGAACAAATTTATGAGGTTATTAAGGCTTAAGACAAAATCATAGCAATATACACCAATACATAGCAATACACAGTGCATATTAACAAAAAAAAATTATATTTTTCAACATAATTTTTCTAATACACAGCTATATAAGAGCTCAACAAACTTTCAAATGAATAAATAATATAGTGTATTACTATAAACTTGAATATTTAGTAATACACGACAATACTTAGCAATACATAATGTGTATCAGCAAAAAGGGCATTCCCTCTTGTACACAAACTCATCACCCTGTTAGGATAATAAATTGGTTAGGATCTCCTGAGTAAATTTTCTATAAATTATCATTGAAGATGCTTTCACTTGAATGAAATACAAGATTTGATTTATGATATGCAATTCCATGCATTTTATTTTTTTCAAAGCATATTAATGGTGATTTAATCCCCCATTGTAGATATTACTTGATGTTGCTGTTATTGTTGTATAATTTTTTATTATGGATGATATTTTCATCTATTATATTTTCTTTTATTATCCTCCCATATCAGCTACATAAACATATATGATTGTACCATGAAGGCAATCTAGTAAATATATAGTCCATTTCAATTCTCTCCCCTTCAAACATGATATTAGAGCTATGAAATAAAATATTCCCTAAATACTTCCTCGTTGATGCCACAGTACCTCTCCAACTTTCAATCTCTAATGTTATGTTTTCGCACCTCTCTTTGATTATGAGAATAAAAGGCCATGCAGGCTACGATTTGATTATGAGAATAATAATAAATACAAAGAGTTATGAGTCTACAACTCACCAGAAATTCTACAAGCAAAAAATCATGACCATGCAGGCTATGCAGCACAAAGAGTATTACAATTTCATACTTTTCCTGTAACTTTCAGTGGCCTATCCGCACATTCTGAGAGACGTTTGGTAGCCTTTCATTCCTCTGCCACCTTAGAATTCATTAAAATGTATTGCACCGACTTTCCAGACAAGATAAGTCGTTGCAAACATTACAGTACTGATGAAGACAAAGGAGAAGGCAACAACGAAGAGATCATTGCCCCCAGGAAGCTGAAATTTCCAGCCTTCCTTCGATAATCCACGATTGCTGTCATCAAACAAGTTTGTGGGAGCTTCAGGGAGGCCGGAGCGCTTCTTGCCTTTGTCTGTCTCTCTTAAAGCATCCAGAACTTTGCTTCCCATTGCTGGTTTTATGGGCTTTGATTCAGTATATTTTGAGAGAACCCTTGCAGCTCTGAGCTTCTCCCTTGCTGTCAGAGGTGCTCTCTTCAGAATTGGTTTTGGCATTTGAGGTGGAGTTTCTTCCATGCCTTCAGATGATAAAAACTGGTCATTTGAAGTTGTGTTTTCAGTGGTAACAGATTCTGAACTGCTTGGTTCATCAGCAGCGTTCTTACCATAATTCCTAGCGACAATCATTCCCCATCTGATCTTATTCTTAGAATCACTCAATCCATAAGATAACGATATTGGAGCGTGCTCAAACTTTTTCTCACTAAATGATCTCATGCATGATGGATATTGCTTGAAACCCCGAATACAACTTGAGAAGTGCCTGAGCTTTACCTGCAGAGATTGTAGAGCTGTTAGGAATAAATGTAATGGGTGATTTAGTGGGTATTATGTAATTATAAACCTATTTGTTATTAGGTTATCACTTATCAGAGGGTTATCAGGTTTTCTTGTATGCTGTAAATGATCACTCTTAGGTAGAATTAGGGCATGGAACTAAAATTAAGAAGACAATGGAGCTTTGGAACACTCCCTCTGCAGACAATTCTGTAACCAGTCTTGTATCTGCCGTTGCCAGGTCCCAAGTCCTGGATGAGAAAAG